TTGTAGTGAAACAATAAGGGAACACGACCACCAAATAAAAAGCCAAGTTAAAAGCCAATTCTTACCAAGTCTTCACTTGTTTGGGGCTTCCTTTATTTCTCCCTCTTATCTCTCTAAGTGTCAGATCTTCCCCTCTTTTTTTCTCTTCAATTCTACTAATTAAGTTCCAATTACTATAAGTTTCACTCTATTCTTTCTTTCTATTTAGTTCTTCTTAACTCCCTTTGGCCCCGTCTCCTTCCGCATCTCTTTCCCAGCTCTCACTCTATTCAGCTCTATGGTGTCTTTGGTGTCTTTTGAACTTGGAACTTGGAAGACTTGGGAGATATTTGTTGCATGGAGAATAAACTTGGAAGTCTATGATATTTGTAAATGACTGACTGAAGAGAGATTTTTTTTCTTTTTTTAGTAGTGGTGTTCTGTTTATAAGAAGAAAAGATGTTCCCATATATAAAAAATTTGAGAGATTATATGTGGAGTAATTTGGTGGATCTAAAAGTAAAACGGATTGGACAATCACTAGTTAAAAATAACCCGCTGGGAAAGGGTTAATATTCTTACCTGGAAGTGTGACGGGAGATAAGATAAAAGGGAGGCAAGGCAAGGTGTCATTGAAGCAAATGGACTGGGACTACAGGAGGTGAAGCCGAGGCGAGTCCAAGGAGAGCGGATGTGACTGAGAGGAAATACGAGAGGAGAAAGACAAAGAGACAGAGAGACCGGAAGGAGCTACAATAGAGTTCGGGTTAAAGAGCGTTCCCTTGCTGCGACGTCATAGCACCACAGAGTAGAAGAGAAAGAGTGGCACTAATTAAAAGACACCCTGTTGAATTTCTAAGATCTCTCAGAAGCTTCTGATATGACTGGTCATCGTATTTTAGATGGTATTTTACTCTGCAGGATGGAAGTAGAGGGCCACTGTGCTATGGTTCTGTTCCTGTCTACAGGAACAATTCCAGAGCATGGCATTGGAAGAATTCTTCAGCCCTGTGGCTTTTAAGCTATGAGGTACCACAGGGTCCTATCCTTTGTCCCATGCTCTTCAATATCTATATGAATCCACTGGGTGAGGTCATTAGAAATTTGGGTTGTTCATACACTGGTAACTTCCTGCTACTGCAATGCACCCTGTGTGAGGCTTCCTTTGAAAATGACCTGGATGCTACAGCGACTGCAAGGCACAATACCTATATTGCTATCCAGAACATAATACAGGCATAATATAACACCAGTTTTAAAGGCATTGTGCTAGCTGACCATTTGCTTCCAATCTGAATTTGCTGGTAATGACATATAATTGGCTGAGGATCTTGGAGGTTGAAGAAGTGCCACTCCCTATGTATGCATGCCTGAGGACTGATGTCTGCTAATGGGGAAGCCATTTGGGTCTAACCAGTGGAATCAATTTATTACCTTCTCTGCTATGGTACCGCACTGATTAACCTAGAGCTGCCTTCATTCCAGTGCAAAGTTAAAATGTGACTTTTGTATTAAAGCTTTAGGGACCTACTGATTTCACCTAAATCTGTGCATATACATAGTTCATAACTTGTTAAAATGGCTTTACACTACTACAACTTGTTAAATTTAAACAACTTGTTAGTGTGAAAGGTAAAACTTTTTCCATTTGGACTATAATTGGCAGTTTTTACCTATACAACACTTAAACATTTTCCAGATGTAGCAGTATGGAGACTTTTTGAGAAATTCAGAGATCTCTATCTAACAAAAGGGCCTGTAGCTTCACAAAGGTAGAGACAACTTGGATCCCAAAGGGAGTTACTTAACTGATGCTAATGGAGTTTCAACTATACTGTCCTTTTACTTAATCCCCCTTTGGCCAACAGGAAATG